GTTTGAAGAGTGAGCTTGTTTTAGCCGTTCTTATTCCAACTTTTCTGAGCTCCACCTGATACCTTTGTGATCAGAACGCCTTGCCGGGAAGAGCAGAGGAACCTGCATTTGATAGGCTTCCATGCTTCCCTGGGGACTAACGCGTGCAACCTGGGTGCTTATAAGGTGCCTCTGCATCATTGTTCTTAAATGAGATACATTTTCTCCAAGTCTAGGGGAGCCAGAAATGTGGACATAGAAGAAAATGACCATCTTTTGTGGTATAGAGGACTTTCTGTGCGCCTTTGGTTTTTGTTTGCTTGGGGGAGAGGGGAGTTAGGGAACACATAGCTGTGCTCGAGAGATACTCCTAGTTTTGTGCTCCGGAGTCACTCCTGGCAGTGCTTGGGGGGACATACACAATGCCAGGGATGAAACCCAGGTCAGCCTCACGCGCGCACGGAAAGCACCTGTGTCCAATCTCTCTGCCACCTGGGTGTTTTTTTCCAAAGGTGCCTTGCAGATCAGCATGTGCTTTCCCACAGGGAGATGGTGTGACACGTTGCAGGGGTGGGGTCCTGCTTTGGGGACTCTGTTTTGGTCCTGGGCAGCTTGTCCTTGTGTGTAAGGAGCCCTGGGCCTCAGCCGCGCAAGGCAAAAGCTGTGGCCCTGCGCCACCTCTCCGGCCTCCCCGCCCGTCTCCTGGAATAAACTTGGGGAAAGAGGCCATTCCAGACGTAATTCCACCCTTCCCTCATCCCCTCCCTCGCCGGGGCCTGCTGTGGAATGTCATCGTCGTGCGCGTTTGCTTCTTTGAAATTTCCATCCCCCTCCTGCAGCAGAATGCTCGTTAGCGCTGCCGGTCGGACGCTGGGCGCTGGTCTCCCACCCCACTCCAGGGGTCGGTCGGAGCGACGCTGGGCGCTGGTCTCCCACCCCACTCCAGGGGTCGGTCGGAGCGACGCTGGGCGCTGGTCTTCCCACCCCACTCGAGGCCATGCCGACCCCCGACCCACCCGGGCGCGCTGCAGGGACCCTCGGCTCGGCCAGGGCGCCCCGCGCCTCCGCCTGCCCTCGGCCGGGCGCCGGCCAGGTGCCCGGGGTTGGGGCAGTGGGGGGCGTCCCCGTGCTCCTGCCGCCCCCGGGGCCGCACCCCCCAGCGCTGCCTGCCCCCCGGGCCGCACCCCCAGCGTAGCCCGCGGTGCCCGACGGCCCCGAGCGTGCGCGCCGACGCAGGGGGCGTGGCTGACCTTTCACCCCCGCGGGGCGTGGCCGCGGCCGCCTAGGTGCGCGCCGGAAGGTCGCCGCGCGGGCCCCGGGGTGCCTCTCCCCGCGCATCATCGGACCCGGCTGCCTCTCTCGGCGACCCCGAGAGATCCCTGGGAGCGGGACCCGCCCCTGCCAGCCCACGTCGACCACTGTAGCCCCCTTTGACAGCTCGGTGGAGCTGCCGGGTTGTCATGGTTACCGAGGACTCCTTTTTCCCTTTTTTTCCAGAATATTTCCTAGGCGGGCAGCCCGGAGCTGGGTAGTCAGGATTTCTGAGCCAAGGGAATGGATTTCACTTTCCCCTTCGTTGCCTGGTCTCTAACCAGCAGCTGCCCCTCTTCCTCCCAGCTTCACTCGGCCCCTGCCCACTGCCCCTGCTTGATTTAACCTTTAAAGAATCAGGCTAAGGGGCTGGAGGGATCGTACAGCGGGTAGCACGCTTGCCCTTGCGTGTGGCCCACGGGGGTTCGCTCCCTGACATCCCATATGGCCCTCCCCTCCCCCAGCCCTGCCAGAAGTGATCCTTGAACGCAGAGTTGGAAGGCCGGCCTGAGCACCACTGGGTGTGGTCCGAAAACTAAAAAAGAAGAAAAAAGATTCAGCTGTATTCTGCGGGGAGATGCTTGCATACAGGAACCCTAGGCTTGAACCCCAGCATCACATTCCACTCCCCATTGGAAGTCTTCCCTCACCCCTAAACAAAGTAATGAAAGATCAAGATGACCCTAGCAGCACCCAATTTCTAGCTTGGGAGCCCCCCCTTCCTCCTCCTCCTCCTCCTTCTCCTCCTCCTCCTCCTCCTCTTCCTCCTCCTCCTCCTCCTCCTCCCCCTCCCCCTCCCCAAGCCCAATTCTTGGCTTCATTCATGCGTGCTGCTGCTTGCTAGGCTGACACCCACATGAAGTGTTCTCTGCCTGTGTTAATAAGAAACTGACCTTTTGGCAAACCTAGGAGCTCAGCACTCCACATGCGTCTCATGTAATTTATTTAACACCCAAATGATGAAGGAAATATTCAGACTTCATCCGTAAGGAACCAGGGATGACTTGGTTCTTTACAGAGGTGATTTGGGTTGGGGGGGGGGAGGGGGTCCTAGGGGTGTGGGGCAGAGAATTCATATTCCAGCTGTTGGGTTCCAAAGAGTCACCTCTCCTCCGAGTTCTGGCTGGATTGGAGTCACATAAAACGTATTCATTCTCTAACCATGTCCTGAGTCCACTCTGCACTCTGTGTTGGGGCAACACAAAGAAATCAGACACCATCTCCACCCTCAAGAAACAAATCTACTGAGAACCCGTTATTAAAAGGGAGAAATCTACAGGAAGCCCAAGAGATTGGGGCCGTCAGGGGAAGCCAGTAGGGAGACGACAATGAGGGGGACAGGCTATGTGGCCAGATATACTCAGGGTGAGGGCTCAACAGAGTAAGGCCCCCACCCTGTGCTCAAGGAGAGTCTCAGGCAAGAGTCATGCTCCTGACACAATGAATGAGAATATGAGCCCCTAGGAAGACCCCAAAGAGGTGTTCCTGTGGAGGAAGCGATGGAGCTGAGAAGCAGGCGGAGGATGGAGGAGCTTGGAATGAAACTAGAGGAAATCCTGTTACTAAGATTTGTCTTTAAACTCTCATCTTCTCGCGGTGTCCCCTGCTATTCTCCCCTCCCCCGTTGCCATAGTCACTTCTGGATCTACTGATTTCTTTTCCCACCCCCCATTTTCTCACTTCCCACTACAAGGAAACACTTTTTCAACAGCTTCCCAGCGCAAAGCAAGGCTCTGAGTGGTGGTCAAAGAGGGTGGGAATGTGCCAAGGTGCACAGACATGGGGTTCTTGAGCAGCAAATATCTAACCTACAGGAGAGGTGACCTCCAAAGCAAAGGGTAAAAGTAGTGCAATCATTCCAGTTTGGAAAAGGACTGCCTGCTGTCCAGGAAACGCTTCATTGCAGTTGGTGTGCCCGTTCCTTTGGCGTTATTTGACGTTATGCACCGAGCCCGCCTGTCCTCCCCGAGCCTGCAGTTGAATGCAGATCCAGGAGATGTAAGCAACCGTTCCGTGATTGTGCTAAGCCCGCATCAGACGGACACGGGACCAGCGGCCCTTATAAGAAAGAACTCAGAAGACAAACTCGGTAGTTTCTGAACCGATTCCTCATAGTTGTTTACTGAGCTGGGGAGGGGCGGTGCCGGGTGTGTGTGTGTTGGGGGGTGGGGGGGGCATTTAAAAAGCCGAGCGAGCAAAAGGCACATGGACCGCGGAGTGGACATGGTTTGAATACCAGACTCTCCGGCTTCTAGGCAGATGAGAAAGATCTGCGCCGGGGAGGCAAACCATCGCGATTTGGAAACGTCTCTCTGGTACGGAATGGAGGGTGCCCTAGGAGAGGTGTCCGCGGGTTCAGCTCGGAGCCCACAGCAGCTGTACCTTTGTGCCAAGAGACACTGCACCAGACGCGAGCCTGGGGCAAGCTGGAGCAGTGCGGGGGCGGGGGTGGGGTGGGGACGGAAGGTGAAAGGAGAGTTCCGCGTGAGATCTACATTCAGCACAAGGACATACGCAGTTCTAGGCACTTGCACGGCCGCCGGGAAGACCCGCCTCCCTTCCAGATCCCTCTGGGGCGGAGCTCGGCCGAAGCACGTGACAGCGGAGGAACCACCTTTACTATGGGCGGCCCTCCGAGTCATCGGCGGCTTCACGGGTCGACAGACCGGCCCCCAACCCCGCGAATCGTTCCCGGCGGGCTCGAGGGATCCGTTCTTCCTGCGCCCCCCTCCTCCTCCCCCTCCCCTAAAGCGTGGTCAGGGCAGGGACGCCGCGAAGGGGTCACTTGCCCGGACTAAAGATGGCGTCCCGCTGCGCTCCGGCCGGCCGGGAGGGGCGGGTCCCAGGCGCCCGGCCTCACCCGGCGAGGCGCCGGCGGAAGGGGCGTCTCGCGAGGGCCGTGCTCGACCTTCCTGGGCGGAGACCCGGGCCGGGGGGCGTGGCCGGGCCCGGATTCCAGGAGCCGATTGGCTGGCGCGGGTGGGCGGGGTGTCCGCGGTCGCCCCCGCCCCCCTTGGAACCGGAAGTGTCTCTCGGTCTTTCCAGCTGGTTGTCATTTCACTCGGCTCGGTCCAGGGGAGAAGGACTCAGCCGCGGCTGCGGGACCCGGGCGCGGGAGGCGGTGGCGGCGGCGGCGGCAGCGGCAGCGGCGGCGGCGGCGGCGACGACAGAGGAGGAAGAGGAGGAAGGCGGCGAGAACGAGAGGAACCGGGCGGGGTCCGCAACGACGCCCGCGGGGACTGCGGGACCGGGGGAAAGCGGCGGCGGCGGCGGCGGCGGCCCAGCAACCGTGAGGAGAAACAAAAGCCTCCCAAATTAGTTTCCGAAAAGCCCAGGCGGGGCCGGGGGGCGAGAGCGGGAGCCCGGGGGAGAGAGGCCCTGCCCCTCTCGAGTAACGACACCGGCGGGGGGTGTTTCCTTTTCTCCCGTCTCCCCACCCCCCACCCTGCGGAGAATCGAACCGAGAGAACGGAACAAACCGCCCTGGGTCCCATGAGGGAGAAACACCCCGGAGCCGCCGAGAGGGGAAGAGGCCGAAAGCGCAGGACCTTCCAGGACGCCCCCGCGGTCCCCGCGCCCCCGGGCCGCCGGCTCGCCCCCGCCCGGCCGCGCTAATCCCCGCGAGCGCCGCCCCCCGCAGCCCGCAGCCCGCCGGAGGGAGACCCGGGCGTCGGCGGCCCGTTTCATGGGGGAGAGGAGGCCGGGGGGAGCCCAGCCACAGCGACCGCCGCAGGACCCGCGCCCGGAGCGCCGGGAGCAGCCCCCGAGGCCCCGCGCCGCACCCCGGGAAGGAGCAGCCGCAGGACCGGGGCCAGCCGAGCGCGCCGCAGCCGCCCGCCCACCAGTCGATGCTGATCTCGCCCGCCACCGGGACCTCTCCTGCCCCCAGATAGCCTAATATAATCTCTATCTAGATATATAATATATAATGTCCTTAAATTATTCCCGATTTTTTTAACGAAACCAAGCTGCCAAGTAAAGCACGTATTCGCTCCCGTTAGCACTAATTTTTACGCGAGCGAATCTAAACTGCTGAGGAAGACCGTATGTGATTGTTAAATTATATATAGATATATTTTTACTCTGAGCAACGCTTATTCTTCTACATCCATAGATGCTTGAGAAGCTGTGTTTTTGGTCATTCATGTGTATTTTCCTTTGGAAAGAGAAAGCGCCTATTTTACTAACCAAAGACTTGATTTTGGGGGGTCCCCTCGGTTTCGATTCCCTCCTAGAAGTAAGCCCAGTTGGATTTGTGTCAGTGTTTTAAGAGATTTTTTTGAGTGTTTTTTTTTTTCCTTTTCCCAGACCAGAATTCCAAATCAGAACTATTTTCGGGTGATAAGCTGCGATCTTTTGAGCTAGCTATAAATAAGACATTGCAAACAGACACATCGGGACAGAGGATTTTTCAAAAGGCTTGAGACATCAGGTTGGTGGTGGTGGTTGTGTTTGAGAGTGTGTTTTTTCTTTCCTTTTCCCTTCATTTTTTGCTGTTGTTTTTCCTTGAGAGCTTCTGATCCTAAAAATAATAAATGGGGGATTACGGGTTTGGAGTGCTCGTGCAAAGCAATACTGGGAATAAGTCTGCTTTTCCAGTGCGATTCCACCCCCATCTCCAGCCTCCACACCACCACCAAAATGCCACCCCCAGTCCTGCTGCTTTCATCAATAATAACACAGCTGCCAACGGCAGCAGCGCCGGCTCTGCTTGGCTCTTTCCTGCCCCGGCTACCCACAACATTCAGGATGAGATCCTGGGGTCCGACAAGGCCAAGAGTCAGCCCCCCGAGCAGCCAGACCCTTTAGAGAAGCAGCCGCTGTCGCCGAGTCCAGGTCAAGAAGCTGGCATCTTGCCCGAAACAGAGAAGGCAAAAGCCGAAGAAAATCCAGGGGACAGTTCGTCAGAAAACGGCAACGGGAAGGAGAAAATTCGGATCGAGTCGCCCGTGCTGACCGGGTTTGACTATCAAGAAGCCACGGGCCTGGGGGCTTCCACACAACCTTTGACATCCAGCGCTTCGTCCCTGACAGGCTTCAGCAACTGGTCGGCCGCCATCGCGCCTTCCTCCTCCACCATCATCAACGAAGATGCCAGTTTCTTTCACCAGGGAGGGGTCCCCGCCGCCTCGGCGAATAACGGTGCTCTGCTGTTTCAGAATTTCCCCCACCACGTCAGCCCCGGCTTCGGAGGCAGCTTCTCCCCGCAGATCGGGCCTCTGTCCCAGCACCACCCTCATCACCCCCACTTCCAGCATCATCACAGCCAGCATCAGCAGCAGAGGAGGTCCCCTGCCAGCCCCCACCCCCCACCTTTCACGCATAGAAACGCTGCTTTTAACCAGCTGCCGCATTTGGCTAATAATCTTAGCAAGCCCCCCTCGCCCTGGAGCAGCTATCAGAGCCCCTCTCCGACCCCATCTTCTTCCTGGAGCCCCGGAGGGGGCGGCTATGGTGGCTGGGGAGGGTCCCAAGGCCGGGATCACCGCCGCGGGCTGAACGGAGGCATCACGCCCCTCAACTCCATCTCACCTTTGAAGAAGAATTTTGCAAGCAATCACATTCAGCTCCAGAAGTATGCCCGCCCCAGCTCCGCCTTTGCTCCAAAATCCTGGATGGAAGAGAGTCTGAACAGGGCTGACAACATTTTTCCTTTTCCGGTAAGATAATGTTCCATTAATAGACCAAGGTGAATAACCCCGGTGGGGTGTGTGTGTGTGTGTGTGTGTGTGTGTGTGTGTGTGAGAGAGAGAGAGAGAGAGAGAGAGAGAGAGAGAGGAGGGAGTGGGGAGGATCGGGAGGAGGAAGAGAGAGCACTAATGAAGGCAGGGATTTTTTTATTGCCCCGTATTTCCTATCTTGAGCTCTTAGAAACCAGTTTATTCCCAGGTGATGTTTGGGCCAGGAAGGGAGTGTGACGTCGAGCCAAATAATTCAGATCTGGTGCATTTCTCTTGGTCATCACTCTGTAGATAACCATATGAGTTGGCATAATTATGAAGACCTGTTGGCTAGTGATGTCATAATTATGAGCTGTAACACCTTCCTTGCCTGACCCACGATTCAGGGTTTGTTCTGCTCCTACACCACCACTACCCCATTGATGTCAGCAGAAGTAGAGATAAAAATGGTGAAAATAGGTGAGCCTTTGCTGCCCATCCGTGATCTCTAGAGAACTCCAAACATGCAATTTGTCCTCCACTGGCTTGCAGTTATTCAGGGGGAAAAGGCCCTGAATAATCATTCTCTCACTGGTTGCAAGGCCCTCAGGAACCTTTCTGATCCTTGCCCAATGGGGCAATTGCTCTTAAACCCCTTGGCAAACTCTGGCATGCTTTGTGAAGGAACCTTGATGTCTTCTCCCTCCCCATGTGGTTTTCAGGCCTGCGGGTCTGTTGGTCTCAGAGGGGCTGTTTTACGTACCTTTCTGCCCTTTGTTAATTTGGCACATTCACACTTTGGGGGGAGAGGTACGAGGGGGGTGCAGATAAGGAAACTGATTCTAGAAATAGGTCCAGGTCAAGTTCACTGGGGCTTTGGTGCCCCTGGAATAATCTGACTTTGGCCCAGTGTTTGATGTGTGTGATTTCATGAGCAGCCAGTCTGGCTGAGAGAGACGGGATAAAAGGAATGTCATAGTTAATTAAACGTCAGCTGCCCTTCAATTTGGATGCTCTGAGGGCAAGATCTACTGGATATACTGACAGGTTAGGAAATGTGTGAGGATAAGAAGCTACTATTGAATGAGTCTTCTTAGAACAACACCACGGATCATTTCTGTCTTTGTGCCCATTTTACAGATGGAGTCTCAGGTACTATAACTTGCCCCAGTGCACACAGCTGACAGAAATACAAACCCTACCAGAGAAAAACCAGGATGCAGACTATCTGGTTTTCCTGATGCAGTTAGGATACAGAGTTCTTTCTGCAAGGGTGGAAACAGATTACAGAATCATTGCAGTGTCCCCCAAAACAATGGTAGGCCAGGCAGAATGGTGTGATGTAGTGAATAATTTGCCTAGCAGGAAGAGAAATTTGTTAAGAGAACCCTAGGTCTCATATAAGAATTCAATATCCTTCCCTAAGGATTCAGGTATCATGGTTAAGCAGTATCTCCAAATCCTGGGCTAACAAGTGTTAGAGCTTTTAAAGGAACTTTTTTGGCCTTGGTGTCAAAGAGCTTTGCTTTGGGGTTCTTCCATTCCATTACAGTGCTCTATAACCAGGTGAAAGGGTGTTCAAGATGTGGGTAAGCCTGAACTCTTTCTTTTTTTTTTTTTTTTTTTTTTGCTTTTTGGGTCACACCTGGCGATGCTCAGGGGTTATTCCTGGCTCTGCACTCAGGAATCACTCCTGGTGGTGCTCGGGGAACCATATGGGATGCTGGGAATCAAACCCCAGTTGGCTGTGTGCAAGGCAAACGCCCTACCCGCTGTGCTATTGCTCCAGCCCCTGAACTCCGTCTTTCAAAAGTTACTTTTGATAACCCTTTGAACATACTTCTTAAGGGGGGGGGGAAATACACACACACACACACACACACACACACGCGTATTCTAGCCCTTTTACCTGGCTGAGGGTTTGGCTCAGAATGCACATTCATTGTTACTACAAGGCAGAATGAACTTTGGTGATTTAATGGTTATTTTTCTCAGTTCGTTTACTGATTTTTTTGATGAAGGTTTGCTTGGGGAATAGTACAAAATTCAAGGAGGAAAAAAGTAAATTCTGTGTTTCATGCATATTATGTATATTTTTATGGGGCTACTGGACTGTGTCTAGCATGAAAACATCTCAGCTAGTTTAGGAAATAATAATGTTGACAAAGATTGATTCTCGGCGATATTATTAGAAACGAACTCTTCCTCTAGAATTGCTGCCCGTTCGGCCCAGAATGGCAGAGCATGAGTCGGCAGACCTGGTTCCTTAGTGGCAAAATTAGAAAGTACATTGTTGATTTCAGGCCCTACCATTTTTAGGAGTGTGTGTGTGTGTGTGTGTGTGTGTGGAGCTAGAGGGAATTGGGGGAGAAAAGCAGCACATCAGGGTGATTTGAAAGTCAGTAGAAAGAAGTGATTAACAAAACCTTGATGACAAGAAATTCCTAATTAGGTGTTGAAAAACAATTAGAAGTTAGTCCTTAGCTTAGGTGGAACTCAGCTCTTCCTGTGTGCTTTCTGATTTTTTTTAAGCAATTCCTTTTGAATTAGTCTTTTGCCCACCCCCACCCCTCCCATATACTATATGGGGTTGACACGAATAACTTGGTTAAATCTGATATTTAAAAGAGAAACTTGAAGAAACCAATTAGAGTGTGTTGGTCGGGAGCCAGGAGACCCAGTCTGTGATCATGGAGCCTTTGGGGCCTCCTGTTTCATTATACATTTTCTCACGGTGAAGGTGACATAGGTAATTCCTGATTCCCTCCCGTCCTAAAGCAGGCTCCTGTGGAATTTAAATGGCTCTTTCCTTAGGACACAATCTTTTGGAAACACTGCTAAGTTCACCTGTATGGCCTACCTAAAGCACTGTTACTTTTTAGGGAAGAAATTTTATAGATGCCGATCATTCGTTTTTAGTAAGACTTTCTTAGACATTACAGGGAATCGTGGCACTGTATCACTGATTTGACAGGACACTTACCTGGCTACATCATAATACAACCAAAAGTTAGATGGCCTTGTTATATTGGAAGGATATGATTGACCTAAAATGTAATTCATCCTGGAAAATGTTATTTTCTTTCCTTTTTTTCCTTTCTTTTTTGTTTTTGGGCCACACCTGGCAATGCTCAGTCCTTAACCTGGCTCTGCGCTCAGGGAATACTTCTGGTGAGCTCAGGGGACTATATGGGGTGCCAGGGATCAAACCTGGGTGGGCCCCATTACTGGGCAAGTGCTCTACCCACTGTAGTATCACTCTGGCCCCAGGACAATGGGACAACATTAATTTTAATTTGGAATTAATCAGAATGGTTTTTAACCTCTGTCTAGTACAGGCTTAGGTACATGTCCTGAATTAAAATCATTGATAGCAAATTTCAAAAGTGTTTTGCCACCTGATCTTAGCTTTTATTTATGTTTAAAAAACAGAAATAGAAATTCCAAATATGTGAATAAATAACTGATATGGTCAAGTGTTATGTTGGGGAGGGGGAGTTTTTGGTATCAAGATGTCTTTGCTTTCTTGTCGGGCACAGTGCTCTGGAATCACTCCTGGCAGTGTTCAGGGAACTGTGGGTGGCACCAGAAATTGAACTGGGTTCAGCTACGTGCACTTACCCTCCATACTATCTCTCTGGCCACTCGACACATAGATTCAAGGCATTTTGTTTGCTTGAAGTTTTCACTGTATGAACTCAGATTCTGTGCCTCAGATGCTGTTCCAGGCCTGACTGCATTCCTAGACACCAGAGTGACCCCTGTGCCCACGGGATTGGGAGCACAGAGCATACATTCCCTCATTCAGTTCTTCCAGCCACCCACCAAGGAGGTGGACAGATTCTAGTGGTGGTGATGGTGATGGTGATGAGTCAGCCACAAAATTGGGCTTGTAACCATTCCACCAGTGCCTCTTCACATACCACAGGTTTCCTGAGAAGGAGATCTTAGAGGCAGAGGAAAACGTGACAGTGAATACTTGATCTGTGATGACCCAAAGCCCAAATATAATCAAAGCCTTAAAAGTGAAAAAGAAGGGGCCTGAGCCATGGTCCAACAGCTTTGGCACTTGTCCTGCACACGCCCGACCTTGGTTTAATCCCTAGCACCCCAGGTGGTTCTCTGAGCCAGCCCAAAGTTATCCCCGAGAACAGAGCGAGGAGTACGCCCTGAGCACTGCTGAGCATGCCTCCCAGCCCCCACCCCCGCTCAAATAAAAGGTGAAGAATAATAGAATTGAGTGATCCACTTTAAGATATTGGCCATCTGAGGCCAGAGAGATAGCACAGTGGGTCAGAATCTTGTCTTGCCTGCAGCCAACCCAGATTATATCCCCAGCACCACATAGGGTTCCCCAAGCCCTGCCGGGAGTGACCCCTGAACACCACTGAGTGTGCCCCCCGAAATATTGAATAGAATTTATATATTAAGATAACATAATTATTATATTACTATAACAATATATTGGTCTGTTCTGTATTAAGGAAGGGCATGAATAATCTTCCAGCTGATATATCTTTCTAGTACCTTCTGTCTATATTGCGAGACTGGTGCTTATGCGTGTAGGTTGTTTGCCTTCCTATGGAGAATTTCTCATCCCTCAGTTGGTCGTTGTCATTGTTTCCACTTGCAAATGAGAAAACCAGGGCCATGGTCAGGTGACTGGTTTGCTTTGACCCTTATATTTTGGTTGGGGAGTAGGAGGGCAGCCTCCCGTGTTGCCAAGCACATCCTGGAATCCCAGTGTCTAAACCAAATAATAGACTGGGGCCCCTGCCAATCATCATATTTGAATAGAGCACTTCCTTGGAGGGGTGCCTGCCGCTTCTGACCTTATAAGAGAGAGGAGGCTTGGCAGAGCCCCAAGCCCCAGCCCCCACTCCCGTTAGCTAAGAACCAGGAAGTAGGAGGGAAAAGGAAGGGGAACAAAATCTTTGTTTCCCAGATAGATCCCCCAGTGATCAGCAGGTTCGGGCCTGGCTCATGTGTTCAACGGCGTC